CTCAAGCCCTTTGGGGCAGGGGTTGAGCTGACAAGCAGTTAAAGGGGGTTCAGGTTCCTACCTGAGCGTTGGGTGAGGGGGAAGCCTGCCACCCGTGAGTGGGGGTGGCAGGGGGGGACGCAGGCCCACCCACTCCACTGCGTCCCAGCCCGGGGCCCTAGCAGCGATTACTATCGCTGCTGGTCAGTGGGGTATCCTGACCGACACATACTGACATGGGCTCGTAGGCCTCCGCAGCCTGACCGGGGTCGGCTACCCCCGGGCTACTTCCTTCGTCCCCCTCGGGGCTTACCTCGGTGCCAGTGCTGGGTTCGGGCCAGTCTAGTAGCATCGGCTCCTCGGGAGCGGGGCTTGAGGGCTGGTCCGGCAGTTCTTCCTCCGGATAGCTGGCCCGGGGCAGGCTTGACTCCTCCTCGGGGCCGCTGGTCTGGGGCCAGCTGGGCCAGTCTCCCTCGGGATAGCTGGGTCGCGGCAGGCTGGGCCAGTCCTCTTCGGCGTGACGGGTCCGGGGGAGGCTGGGCCAGTCCTCCTCGGGGTACCTGGCTAGAGGAAGGCTCGAGCGGCGCGGGCCGTTAGCAGGCGGTTCGCGGCCGGCCGCTGACTCCCAGCCGGGAGCTCGGGCCGGAGCGTCTGCTCTCTCCGGCAGGCTGGGCCCTACTGAGCTTTGGTGCTGGGCTTTTATACTTCCGGGTCGGGGCCGTGACCTTGGAGGGGCGGGCCCCGGACCCGGTAGCCCCGCCCACTCTAGGGATGGGGGCTGTGCCACCCTGCCAGAGGCGGAGGGGGGCCACGCCGACTCACTACAAAACCCTAAGGCCAAGAGAAATAGCTAACAAATTTATTGAACCACTAGCAATTAGTTCTAAAGCATTTTAGAGAACCAGGCAGGTTCCAGAGGACTAGAAAGAAAATTAACTTGATACCAATGTTCAAAGGAGGAAAAAAGATATCAGATGGTGTCAGGATTATTATTCTAAATTGAATCTCAAATATATATTATAAAATCCATTCAGAAATACAGAAATAGTTCTGCTTTTTAAATAATACAAATGCAAAAATTTAAAGGGATAAAGTCAGTTTGAGACTCACATTTTCTTCTGAAAATTTTATACCTACTGTGGTTACAAGTAATAAGTGGGACTACTATAACTGAAAGAGATGAGTCAGAAGATTTGTCAGTTTTATTTTGTGCACTTTACAACACTCCTGCATAGAGACCGTGTCACTCCTTTGTTGATACTCAGTTGCACTTGTCTCTTGCACTAGCATGCACTCTCTTCCCCAGGAAGCAATCCAGGAATTCTCTTTCAGCAAGGGGCTGAAAATGAAGAGGCAGCAAGTAGGCATCTGCACAGAGAGGCAGAGGAGGACGGTGGGTGGGCCCAAAAATATAGTCCCTGGTCTCTACACGCACACAGGTGTCCATGCTGTAGATTAGATCCTCGGGCATAAGAAACACAGCTACCCCTATATCTTGATCAGACCACTTCCTGAAAAATAACTATTCCTTTCATAAGTCAAGAGGAAAGCACTGCTCTGGTCCACTTAAGAAATTCTTGTACCCTCCCAAATTCCAGAGCTTACTTAAAGAAAACTTTACCCAGCAAAGAGGTCAATAAAAGTATATGACTTGGTAAAGCAATTCAACCATTCCTTGACTACTGCTATAGACACACCATCACCAACACACATTCTCCCAGCTGGCAATCTACATATTATCATAGTTCAGCCTGTAATAAAAAGAGCAGGAAGGAAAAAAACTCCAAATATTGGGGGTGGAGATAATGGTTTGATGGAGACACTCGGAAACAAGAAATTTTTACAAATCTGTGCTATTGGCACGAAGGAGGCAAAGAGATTCTCTCTTTCCTCTGTCATGGAGATAGCAAAGTCATGCCTGGCATAACTTTTTTGGACCATAAATTGCTCTCTTAAGACCAGATTGCCTCCATTCAGCCTTCAAACACAGCATCTCTTACTGCAAGAAATAATTTCAGAGAGATCATGTACCTGATAGGTACTGAGAACAAGCAGAGAGCAACATCCTTCAATCAATCTTCCAAGAATTTGGCCCATTCACACAAGTAGTCAAAAGCACTGATGGTACCTGAGGCCAACACCTGTGACTGATGCCTACCTTTTCTGGGTGGTAAGAGTAGAAAACACTTCGAGCCCCTAACTAACCAAGATTCTTAATTCCTCCTTTTGTAATTTATCACCCACATTACTACATGCAATAGTCCAACCATTACTAAAAAAAGATTGCTCAGTGCTAGAGACCTTGCAAACTATCACCTAGTGTCTAACACAAACACACATACCTTGTGTTTTATCCAATCAAAAAGCTAGCAAAAAGTCTCCAAAGCCATCTGTCAGCTCACTGAAAATGGGATCCCTGTCAGTCAGGCTTGAGGTCAGGACAATGACAGAACTAGCTGCTCCTTTGATGGCTGACATCCTCCTGCCTGTACTATCTTGCTGGACCTATTTACAGCATTTGATGCCATTGATTACCATATACTATGGTCCTGTTTCTAAGAAACGGAACAGAAACAGCCCAAAACAATTAGTCTCACTCCAAATGCAGATGGTCATTACTAGACTCCATCCCCAAATTCCTTCTCTACTGAATCACACAAGGCTCAGTGCACTCCATATACTGTTCAATATCTCAGTTGAACCTCTGTTGTCTTGCCAACTCTCCCAAGTCCCAGCAACACTCATACATCAATCCGCTCTATATCTCCTTTACGTCAAATCTTAACAGCACAATCTCTCAGCTTTCTGATGTTTATCTGAAATCAGCAGCTGGCTAAAGTTGAACTCTGGCAAGACTGCAGAAATGCTGACAGGAAGAGGGGTGTGCCTCCTCTTTAACTTCCCCATTATTAGAGTTGGTTGGAAAATAGAAAAACTATTTCATGAACATTTTAATTTTTTTTTCCATTTAAACATTTTGTCTACATTTTCTGATCAGTTCTGATTGTTAAATCAGTTTGTGGACTTGGGGTTGTTTATGATTCTTCAGTGCTATTGGTGCCCAAATAGCCATGGTAGCAAGAACAGCCTCTTCTACTTCTAACAGGCCAGAAGATTGTGTCTGATCCATTCAGACTCAGACCTGACCAGAGTGATCCAGGTTTAATTATTGCAACTCTTCTCTAGGAACAAATCCCACATCCTGAATAAGCTCCCATTGGTACAAAATATAGCAGCCCATTTGCTTAGCAACATAGGTTGCTGTTAACAAATCACCTCAGTACTCCACTCTGCACTGGCTTCCCACTAAATACAGAGTCCAGTACAAGTCCTAATGGTCAAACCTATCCCTCCACAACCATGAACCCTTACAAAAGCTATGTTCCATTGTAAATGGAAACTATTGATCAGTAAGTGGAGATGGAGGACTTTCACTGCTACAAGAGATAAGAATGACCATGTAACTAACCACTTTTGCAACTAAATGCGAAACTCATTTCTTCTGCCTAGCTTTGCCTCCATAAATTTATCACATATACAAATACACAAAACCCTGTAAGCAATTCAATTACAGGTACCTACTTCTTGTGGGGTGGGAAGGAAGAGACATTTTAGTTCCAGTTTTTAAATACTGGTGTAGGGGGTGTGTTCAGATACTATGGGGTGGGAATCATATAAATGCCTAGTCTGACAGAGCCATTCAGTGATGTTACTTTGGGCCTGTCTAAAAGGCCCTTGTAAATTTATGTAGAGGAGCAGGTATTTTTTTGTTTAAATCAGAACAAATTGTCTAAAGGTAGCTCTATCAGAAAACTGATTTTTTTTTTAAACTAGTCTTTACAAAAAATTCAAATTGCTAGTGTTCCTTTAATTATAGTTTCTGCTAAAACTTATCATAGCTTATTTAGCTGCTAGTGCCTTATTTACGTGTTCTTGATCAAAGATGAGACTGATTATACATTGTTTTATTTATTTATCCTCTTGCTGCTGGGAATCATGATTTTGAGCCATCGTAACTACTGACACTGGGATGTTAACTGTGAACTTCTTTGGCTGGATCAACAAATTGTACATTTAACCATTTCTTTTTCTGTTCTTTAAGGTATACATTTTACAAGTCTGTAAGGAGATTGAGTTATCACCTTTGAACTCTGATCTGCAGCTAGCTGAACTTAGATTATTAACAAATATGTCTGTTACCAATGACTACCACCATATGATGACAAATGCAATTCCGTGCTTTCTTCATTTGCTTTCAGAAGGAAATGAAAGGACACAGGTACTGTTTACTGTACTATCATAACCAGATATCTCAGTCAAAGTTAAGCAGCTTGGTATCTTCCAGTTTAGATTTGCTTTCTTTTTTTAAACCATCAGTTTCTACGGTACTCTGTGGTGTATTTTTTTTAAAGAAAAATAATTTTACAGTTCAGTAGCTATAACTAGTGGAGAATGTGTAAAGGACTTGCAAACATTGCCCTATTGTCCTCTCCAATGGAAATTCTCACAGGAGGGAAAATTACTTCACAAGGATCTTCTTGCAGAGTTTCTCACCCCAAATCATTCCCAGAGTGGGGTATTCCCCCTCTCTGGAGATGGAGCCTTGTTTTTGCCCCCATATTGCTGGATGCTATAGGAGACCAGAGTCATCCACACAGCAGTCCTGTGCCTTTGCACTAGCTCTAGAAACCCCACCACCCCCTTCCACTATATGACCTATCGGGGAAAATGGAGTCATGCTACCAGTGCCTCTCATAGTTTCAACTGCCCCATGGACTCCATTATAAAGGGTGTTGCCTCTGCACAGAGATGGGGAGAGCATGGAACAGATAATAACACCACAAGCTTTATTACCTTTCCTAGCTAATCTCTGTGGTGCTGCTGTGGGAAATAAAGCTCCATTCATCCCTTCTCTGCCTGTGGAATGCACCACCCCAAAACAAATGAGAGCCCTCTATAGGATCCCAGTAAGTACATAGTGCCATGGAGGTAGGAGATCACCACCACTCCAGCACAGGGCAAAGGAGATCTGCATGTGGAGGGCTCCACTGTTGCATGAATCTCTCTGGGGATAGTGAGCAAGGGTTTGTTCTCAGAATCACATGGTGATCTTAACTCTGTTGTTCTTTATCTATCTAATATATCTGTTTATAATATGGCTCTCCTGGAAGTTGTGTATACAGGGAGAGTAGGTCATCACAGTCAACAGCCATCTTGTGGATCTGAGAGCTGAAATTTGCCCTTTGACTTACAGAAGAAAAGTCTTCTGTATGTCTGTGACCATAATTACTATGAGTATAGGCTCATCTGAATTTTTGTCATAGTCCCAATGCTAATAGAAGACCTGTTTGCACATGTAGAAGATACCGCTTCTTAGTGGTATTTGAAAAAAGAAAAAATGTATATTTGTAAATTACTACCAGGAATAATGTGAATCTTTTCTTCTCCTTGTGATGCTTCCCGGGGGTACCCAGGGTTGTGAGGCACCTTGCTACCAACTGCCCTTAGCATGAGGAAGCCTTGACTGTGCCTGCTGTGTCCCCAAATCCATCCGCCATGGGCAACATAAATACTCCCCCCCAGGCCTATGCAAGCCTCACTGTCTCTCTACAGGTTAGTGATGGGCACACTCCAGCCCCTGATCCCTCTATCTCCCTAGAGTGTCCAGCCCGTGTTCCGCTAGACACTTGCAGTATTCCCAGGTTCACTGCTTCCAAAGAAGCAGTACAGCCCAGCTTACCAGTTTCACTCAGATCGCTACTCCGCTTCACATGCAGCATATAGATATGTTTATATTGAATACAAGTAAAAGTTTATTTAACAAAGTATAACAATTCAAGTGATAGTAAGTAAAAGTATTGGAAACAAATGTCCAGATATAAAATCATCATACGCATCCTAGAACCTAGACTTGATTAACTCAACATTTTCATGTCTTATAGAGCAATGCTCACCTAAAATCCTTCCAGTATTTTACAGCCAGACTTGGCTGTGACCCTCCATTTATAAGACAAACACACTGTTTGCCTCCTCAGTTGAAGGATTCAGGGTATACCTTTGCATCCCCAGATATACCCCAAGAATCCATTCTCTTTACTCATAAATGATCCTCTCCTGTTATTTATTTCTTACTGCAAATTTCCTCTCTTGAAGATTTTGCAGTGTCTTGATTGTCATTTGGCTCAGTATGCAAACAGGCATCCATTGTGAGACATATAATGCCCAATATACTCATGACTAGACAGAGAGATCTGTCTGTTACCTCCTGTCTGAAAGGAACCTGTCCAAAACATGTTACCTGCTAGTTACCTGCCTTAAGAACATAATTTTCTGTACAGACATGTAATTCCTTAAATATTATACATACATTTTGCAGTGATTATGATGATCAGTGGGCTCTGGGCTCTTGACTCTTAGTATAAACATCACATGACTCCCTTTAGTGAATTATTATGCATATATCTGATCCAGTGGATCCCAGGAAAACTCTATGCACCCGCTCTGCCAGTTGGCACTATGAGGTTCCTGGGTCACACTCCTCCGCTGGGACAAAATTCAGAGCTAATCTAAGTTGGAGCAATTCCATTGACATCTGTACATCCACTCACACCAACATTTAAATCTCGCTCACTCTTCTTCCATAAATAGTTCTATTGATTAATCAGGGCTACTTACATAAATTAAACAATCAGCATTTGGCCCTTAATCTAGTAGTACATGCTTAAAGTGACATGTCAGTGCCACAAGATGGCGATTCAAGAATATTAGGAATAATAGGCAATTCAGAAATAAAAGGATAGAGATGTGCTTCATACGTTCAATCAGAATTGAAAATGCAGTATTTAAATAATCTATAGTTATGACTGACACAAATCCAGCTTGCTTTATTCATTGCAAGTAGTCTCCCAGAGTCCAGTGGGATTACTTGCATAGTAAGGCAAGCAGGATTTGGCCCTAAATATCTGACATCCCTTTTATTTATCAAGGCAACAGCTGACTTTAAAGGTAGGGTCCTTTGATGCAGAAGCTACTGTCAAGTGTTCTGCAAAGGCTAAAGGGAGTTGCTGCCGTGCCTCCAATTATGGTGTTTACTGTAAATCACTGGATTAAATGTCTTTCAACAAACAGGCTTTCCAAATCTCTCCCCTCTGTGACTTCACTCCCAGTAACCCGTTGTTGGTCACCAGTCAAATTTCCTTGTTCACGTATCCAGCACACAGCAAGAATCTTAAACTGTTTTAGCTCTGTCTCCCCATATAATCAGAGTTCACTAATATTAAAAACTAAACCTTCTTCCTAAAATAGCCTGTTTTATTTGTATCTCTGATGCTCCTCCTTTGCCTGTTACTATAGATGTTGGCTTAGTGAAATGTTGCACAGCACCTCACCGTAGGTACACACACCTCTAATTTCATGAATTTATCTCCTTCATCCAAAATTCTGGGGATTTCATGAACCCCCTCCTTGTAATACCAAGGACTTTCAAATCCGCCATTCCACAATAAGCTGGTCAGCTCAAAGCGTATCACTGATGTAATAACTCACAATCCTTTCCTGTATAGCTCCTGATAATAGCTCAGATACTGCATCTTAAGAAATGTAGCATACCTGCATCTTCCCCCAAAAAACACACTGTAAAATAATTACTTTTATATCTCCACATAAATCATAGGCATGGACTTGGAAGGATTATATTTTATCAGGAAATGTCATTAAATGTAGTTTTTTTTTTTTTATTTTTACCGTACATACACAAACAATGATACTTGAAATTTACAGATAGGCAAAGTAAGAAAAATGCTGCTTGAGAATTTATCTAAGGATATTTATTTTGTATATTTTGATGTGATATTGACAATTTGTGTTTTAACAGTTATGAAGCTTTAATTTTTTGAATCTTAACATTTAATGTCATTAATGATAGTTAAGGCTGCAAGTCTGTCACAGAGGTAATGGAAGTCACGGATTCCATGACTTCTGCAGTGGCTGGTGCTCGGGTGGCCCCGGGGCCAGCTGCACTGGCTGCTGCTCAGCCACTGGAGCAGCAACAGTGCCCCAAGCCATCCTCCCGCCCCCATCCCATGCACCTAAGATTTAGTCAGGGGTATTTATAGTACAAATCATGGATAGGTCACGGGTCATTAATTTTTGTTTATTGCCCATGACCCGTCCATAACTTTTACTGAAAATACCCATGACTAAATCTTAGCCTTAATTATTGTCTGCCACCCACCATAATTTCACAACTGAATTAATAAAAATAAAAAAAAGATTAAAAATAAACATGAATACTATCAGTCAGAATTATTTAAAAACAATAAAAATAAAAATTTCTGCCAAGCCTAGTTATGTGATGGGAAAGGAGAAGAGATCAGAGTTAAGCCTTACTCGGCATTTCCAGACACCTATTTCGTTTTGTTTGTTTTCTTAATACTACAATATTGTAACGACTGTAAATACATATCAATTACTGAAGAAAAAGTTTTAAGCTGAGAATTATTTGTTATGCTCACTTCAGCATTAACTGAAGGGCAGTTCAGAACTGTACTGAAGGGTAGAGAAGCACAAATGAGTAAGTACATCCTAAGACCTCCTGAAAATGCACTTCTTTTACAAAGCTTATTGATTCCTGTCTCAGCTGCCTTTCACTGCGTGTGAGAGAGAGAATTTTAAAATATGGAATTAGGAGATATGTGCTGAACATCACTTAGTCACTCTTTGTTGCATCCCATTTTTTTATCTGCTCGTTGTCCACTTAGATTGTAAACAAAAGTTGGAATTACTCCCCCTCTCGTCGCGCCACGCCCTCCCCCCCCCCAAGCCCAATTTGCATGGTTGCAATTTTAAAATACTAAGATAGCTGCAGTCCTATATTTAACACTTGTCCTGTGCAAGGCTGGTGTCAGTGTCTCGTATGGCTTTTAGCTGAGAGTGTCAGGTCAGACTACAGAAAACAGGGCAGACACACCAAACTGGTGGTATATCCTATAATTAGATTTCATCAAGCCAGTAACAAACATACACTCCTGGACCACTGTATTAGTCTTGCCATGGAGACTCAGTCTCCTTAAGTTCTCCAGCCCTTCTTTGTCACCCAGACAAACTGGACTTTATGATGAAAGTTTACTAAAACCAAAATTCACCACACATTAGGGTACTCCCAACCCCAAGGGGCCAGTCACTTACCCCGGTCAAAGGATACTCTTGATTTCACCAAAGACAATGCTGTAGCCAATGCTGTAGCTGATCCAATTTCTCTAGTAAACTAAAAACATATTAGCTCAGAAAAAGAAATGAGTTACTGAGAGGTTAAAGCAGGTAAAATACATTACAGGTGAGTCTAAGTTTGTAGTCCAGTTTATAGCAGAGATGTAGTATCTGCTAGTTCTCTAAAAGTTTCTCAGGGTTGCCCAAAATGGCATTGGGGACCTCTGTCCACTTGCTCAGAATTCCACCGTCAGAATTCATCAGTCCAGAGATGGAGAATCGCTCCCAGGGTCCCTTCTTATAGTTGAAAAGAGTCTGGCAAGTGTTCTCAGCACAGCATGGGCTCTTGCTTTGTTGACTACACGCAAACGTTTGTGAATTTTCCATTGTTGAACACAGAGACCCATGTTTTGAAGTTAATGTTTCTTCATTTACAGTTTTGAGGCTCCAGACCCATTTAATGGACAATTTGAAGATAATGCATTTAGTTACAGCCATCCAGACAATCTTTCATTAATTATCAGGGAGTTTTACATATTAAATGAACTCGTATCTAAACACTAGTACATCCGTTTAATCTAGGACTAAATAAGTACAAGGTAATACATGATGTAATTAGATAGCAATCAACAGGTTTATAGATAAGTGAAGACAATGCCATTAACATTACACTAATTTTCATGAATTTAGAGTAAATGTAATTACTGGGGCATCTGCCGTGTAAATGTAATGTGATAACATCCGCCACAAGTGAATTGGCTTGAACACATGACCTTTTAGCATTTCTTTGATATGAACAAACTAGTCAATTGCCTTATTGCTCTAATCTGAGCCGGTCGGACAGCATCAGAGAGCTAGTAACCTGTTAGCATCACAGCTGGTTTACTAAACAGTGGATTTATTTAATGCATAATCCTGCACTATTAAAATCAATGGAAGCTGCATCATTGATTTCAGTGAGTGGAGGATCAAGCCCTTAGAGATGAAGGCCAAGTTCTCCTCTATTTCATTTTGTAAAAACCAGAGTAGCTCTACTGAAGTTAGTAGAGAGAGCACACTGGAGTTACTACAGATTGACACCAGTGTAAATAAGAGCAGAATTTGCTCCTACGGTATTTTTCCTCCTCCGTTGCTTTAGCTACAATGAATTAATTGTTAAAGGCTGACACTTTGCTTCTCTCTGTTCAAAAGCAGTAAATGAAGACAGTCCCGGAACCAAAGAGCTTACAGATGCAGAGAAAGCAAGGACACACTGAGAAGCTTAGACGGGGGGTAGAGGGTGGCTCTTTTCTTGTGGACATCACTGAAGAAGTTAATCTTTATGTGGAATTAGAGGGTGATAGTGTGGCAAATTCTGGTAGGGAGACTGTTTCATGCAAAGTTACAGGGAGGAGGGAAGGCACGGGTGAAAGAGACAGTGAGATTTAAGATTCTCCTCCCCTTATTTTAAGAGTTTTTCCATGTGAACTATTATGTTCCTCATTTCAGATTCAAGTTCTGAAAGTACTTGTGAATTTATCTGCAAACCCAGCCATGACAAGACATCTTTTCAGTGCTCAAGTAAGACTTTTGCCATTTTCAAACTGCTTCAGTGCTGAACATTTTAGTACAAAAGTTCATGATGCTCTTATTTAATCTACACTTCAAATTGTATGATTCTTAAATAGCTGTACATTTAATGCTGGAATTTTACTTTACATAGCCAAAGCAGGCTGAAACCAGGAACGGTAGCTAAAAGCATAAGCCTTTTCCAGGTCGTTCTATATCGGAGAGATCACATTCACATATGAAGATTCACCCATATGCATGGTTAACATGTTCACCATATGGCCACTGTTGGTCATGCTTCCTGTATATAATGCAGAATGATAGTGGCAGTTTGCAGAAGCCCTTTCTCTCCATCCCTTCCCACAAAACAAGGGCATTGTTTGCTGCTCATACATGAGAGACACAAAATATAGCCAACTGCCACTTTTCATCTATATTCATCTACAGAAGGAACATATGGCCTGAGGATGTGCTCCAAATCATTTCAGATGCATCCAACATTGCAAATTATCCTCACTTTCTCAACAATTGTGTCTCAGCTGTCATAACTTTTGCAGCTGAGAGAGGTAGAAAATGCACTATACACAAAACATCTCTATCCACAGATGTACTGTTTTGATAAGACATCTTTATGAACACAGTACCCCTCCCAATGCAGCTCCCAAGGCAAAGGCGGATTATGGATTTGTGGGGCCCTGGGCCAGAGCAAGTGGGGGCCCCTTCCACCTGCAGTCTCCCCCGGCCCTCCTCCTGGCGCTCCTGCCAGGGAAATGGGGCTGGGGCGCGGGGGCTTGCCCCGCTCTGCCCACACGGCACTCCTGCAGGAGCGCCAGGCGGGTGGACAGAGTGGGTCGGGGCTTGGGGGCACCCCAATTGGCCGGGGCCCCTGAGCACAGGCCCTGTTGGCCCAATGGCTAAATCTGCCACTGTCCCGAGGTCTTTATAACATGAAGTACTTTACCTTTCAGCACCTGGTGGTTGCATCCATTTCAGCTATATGTAAAAGAATGTCGATCTGGTAACAAATGAAATCTAAACCACTTCAAGTTGCCTTTTAGCTGTACTGTTTTTTACTCTCAAATGAGCTTCTCAAAACAAAATCAGACATCAGAATATTTGGTTTCAGTACTCCCATTTTAAAACCCCTTTGTGGGAGTCGCAGGCACAAACAGCCAATCTGCTGCCCTACAGATACCATGTCTTACCACAGCTCCATTATTAGGATATAAGCAGTAGGTCAAAGTAAAAAAAAGTGGACTTTCGTTCTTGATGAACTTCCACTTCATCTGACTATGGACTACAGCCTTTTCAAGGGACATTGTAAGGTCAAATATGAGCAAAAAATGAAGCAGATATATAAACAAGCTTGTATAAAACCTGAGACCAATAAAAATGTTTCCATTAACTAAAAACAATGTTTACCTCCTTCCAACAAATAAATATTTGTATTCAGTGTTTGCCTCCCAAATGTTGTAACATGATGCTAATACCTTAGAACCTTAAAGAGAAAATGACTGTTCTTTTCATCCAAAATGAAAAGGGCAAATAAGTGTAAAGCACGCTTGACTTTTAAAATAATCAGTTTAAATAATCTAAAGCATTCTTAACATAAGTAAGAATTTTAAAAAAATTAAGCTGACTGTCCACTTAAGAACATCAGTATAATGTATGTGAAATGAATTTATCCATCTGAGTCCAGTTCCAGTGGACATGCTCCATAAATCAACATAAATTAGCAACCTTGGTGACAGTCAGAGTAAAGGTTATAGACGCTGACTTTCTAATGTGCCGGGGGGTGCTCCTCCCCCCCCCTCCCTCGGCTCTGCCCCAGGTCCCTCCACCCCTTCACCCAAGGCCCCTGCCTCTTCCTGACCCACCTCTTCCCGCCTTGTTCCGCCACCTCCCCTGAGCACACCCAGCCCTCGCTCCTCTCCCAAGCACCTCCTGCCCGCTGGGGGGGGATGGGGAGGCACTGATTGGCAGGGCCGCCAGTGGACAGGAGATGCTGATAGGGGAGCTGCCGGTGGGTGCTGAGCACCCACCATTTTGGAGTACTCATGGGATCAGCGCCTATGGATTCAAGGACTGTTCCTGTGATCCTCCAAATACATATGTGCCTAACTTTCAGCATGTACTTAGTCTCACTGAACTCAGTGTGCATGTTTGCAGGATCGGAGCCTCAATGTCTAGACGACATCTCATTGGCAGGGGCAGGATGGAGAAACTGGCACTGCCACTGCCCATTTTGTGTCAGATCTGTTAATAAGCACACCCCAGTGCAGAGTTGTCAATCCGGTGATAGCCCTGCAAATTAGGATAGTAGTATGTAGTTGTGATTACATGCTTAGGCTAAGATTTTGAAAACTAAATTAAAAAGTTAACTATATTTGGTCTTGCCTCTGATTTTTACCTGAACCAATATTTGAGTAGCCAAGGTCAGTCTTTAGTATACCAAAATTGTATCTTTATCCTGTCTGCACTTTAAAACACTTTCTAAATACTTGACATTCAGTCACTGTTCGAGGCAACTGAAATACATCACTACCCCGATATAACACTGATCTCGGGAGCCAAAAAATCTTACCGCGTTATAGGTGAAACCGCGTTATATCGAACTTGCTTTGATCCGCCGGAGTGTGCAGCCCCCCCCGCCCACCCACCCCGGAGCACTGCTTTACCGCGTTATATCCGAATTTGTGTTATATTGGGCCGCGTTATATCAGGGTAGCGGTGTACCATTCAGAATGAAAACAGTATTCCAGTTCTTATAAATGAAAATGGGAATTTTCCAGACACCACATTCTAAAGATTCAGACTACAAAGCATATGTCAGGTTGCAAAACACAAGCCAATTTTTTCCAAAAGGAAAAATGTGCAGTCCTTGCAAGTCTTTGACATGCTTTTATAGCACATAGTAGCTGTAATGAATATATATGTAAGGTTTCTATTTTAGTGAGTTTTAGTTGGAAGCTGTCTGGTTTGTGGATCAATATTTTTTATTTTTTAAGAAATCATTGGTGTTTGAGGGGGGGTTATATCAGGAATTCTTCACACATTTACTTCTCAATTGATGATTAAGCATTACTTTTATGTATTTAATGTCATAGGCACCATCATTACTTTCACTTTTTGACAACTGCATAAACAAAGAGATTCTACTTAGAGCCCTGATGTTTGCCGCAAATTTGAATGAGAATATGAAAAATGAAGAGGGCATCATTACCCAGGATCAGTACAGTGAAGATTCAGTTTTTTCTCTGCTCTGTGGGCATTCTACCCAATATACTAAGAAACTGGTATGTTTATTGCATCACCATGATACAGAAGTGAAAGAACAAGTTGCCAAAATAATAACACAACTAAGAGGAGATACTAAGACCAGATGCTCTGGTAAATTACAGTAATAGAAAGTGTTTATATTCAATGCTAAAATGAATTTCCTTTGATGAAAGAGTGAAGTTTAACCCACTGCTCTTATTTTGCTGAGCACCATTACATTACTGTAAGCAAGACAGCTTACAATGCATTTAATACACAGTGTGTAAGAGATTCTCTTTCAGAGTAATGTAAAACAATGGTCTGTTTAGTACTGACAGTCTTCTACACGAAACTAGTGTGTGTACATGATAGAGGAAAGACACTTTGGGGCATGGAAATATTTCCATTTCAAACTTACAGTAAGTTCTGAAACAGTGAGCTCAACTTTTAAAAAAGTGAACCTTAAAGTGACCTGTTAATGTTGCAAACAGCATTTTCATTTATCATGCAGCGGTAAACATTCACTCTAGGCTGTAATGTGTGATAGATTTTGAGCACTGAATTTGTCACTTTAAGAAAGGTTAGGCCATTTAAATTTTAGTTATGTAATTCTATTAACTTTACTATACACTTGCAGGGAAATACTGGAACATCTATTAAGTAAAATTAATCCCCACATTATTACTTGAATGAAACCATAATTAGATTAGTCAAATTATATAAACATCTTTTGAAGGGAACTAGAAACAAATTTAACAAGTAGCTTATAAGCTTTATATTACCCTTTTAATTGCAAAATGTATCAACTCAAAAAACAAATGCAGACACTTTGAATATAGAATGTAGAACATGTAGTAGAAAATATCTTGTACTGAAACAAGGCCACTAAAAATCCCTGAGCAAAGAATTTATAGTGGCACATTTGTGTCACTATAGTTAAGGTTGCATCTTGACTTTTGTTTAAAGGTCAGCCTTTCTAAATCCTTTAAAATCAATATGTTTAGTTGGATTCCTCTGAAATTTGGTGTGCCTTGGGCGGTGAAAGGCATGGTTATTGATGTGGAGATATAAGCCCCAGAAAAAGTTACCATTTTGAAAAATGGTATTTTGGGGGGTTTTTTGCACAGAGCTAGGGCTCAAACTGTTGATGTGGGTCAAAATAGTCTGAGTTTTACACAAGCTAGTGCCTGGCACCCACTAAGTCTTAGGGGAGCCCAAAATGAGTGGTATTTAAGAATGTATATTTATAGTGCAAATGCACTGACACAGAAAATCATTTCTGCCATTTTATATGCTTTATAGCTCAATTCTTGAAAGTGCTCTAAAATTAGAAATGTTATTCAAATGGCTTTGAAATTTGGTGTGCTCATGGGGGCACAGGGTAGTGTTAGTGATCATAACTTGGAGTCATTTGACCAAGGGGTTCTTGAGTTACAGACCTCCCCCCCCAAAAATAACTTTCCTTTTGCTGCCTTATACTGTTAAACTGAGTGGTACTAATGACTGGATAACTCACAGACCTCATTAAGATTGATGGCTGTGCTCTCACCCTTCAATTAACATAGCCAAGGATAAGTAAATCACAAGCCCCCACCTAAGACAAAAAAGAGGTTGCTACAATTTCTGAGTCATGGGTGGCAGGTTTGTTGGGTTTTTTTTGGGGGGGGGGGGGGATGTAATCAAAGTCTTTTGGGGGAGAGGGGGAGAATAGACATGTGAATGCTTCCTGGGAGGGAGTTATATGGGGATGAGGGAGGTTGGGAGGCTCCAGTGAGGGAAGTGCAGCACCCCTGAACTCTGCCAGTACACCCCAATCTCCCTACACTCCACAACTCTGTCAATGTATCCCAGTGTATGCACAAACTGCACGCATCCACCATTTCAATTAGTCTGTGAGCTCTTTGGAGCAGGGACTGTCGTATAGTAGTGCAGGAGCACCATTGTAGTTTAGGTTGTGTCACAACTTTTGTTTAAAGGTCAAACTTTCTAAGTCCTCTAAAATTGACATGCTTAGTCAGATTCCTCTGAAATCTGGTGTGCCCCAGAAGACTGCAAAGTAGGGTTAGTGACCCAAATGTGGGGCCATTTGAGCTAGAGGATGTAGAGAGGCCTGAAAATAGCCGTGTTTCAAAATTTTTTAAATTTTTTGTTTGTTTTTTGCACAGAGCTAGAGCCTGAGTTATTGATGTGATGCAGATCAAAATAATCTGTCTTTTGAGTTTTACCCAAAAGTATTGCATGGCACGCACTAAATCTTTGAGACCCAAATTGAGAATGGTATTTAAGAACATGTTCACCTCTTCACTTGTGTAGATGTGGTCTGGAAGGATTGCAATGAACATGCACCAAAAAAGAAAAATATGGGAGGGGGTTTCTATGCATCCACTTCATGTTTGCCTCAGTCATCCGAATGTTCCACTGCCATGGTCCTGGTGAACTACCCACCACTAGTGGTTCCAGTCCAAACCTTTGTACACCTGTATAATAAAGATTTAATAATGCATATTGCTTGCTACAAGCTGCTGTTTTTATTTTATGGGGAGGTTTACTTTGAACACAGCAGAATGGTCAGCAGGGAGTCTAGCCAAAAGTTGTTGTATCAGGTGGGGAGGAACTGAAAACCAAGGACTTCAAGGGGAGCAGGTATATGGGTTGTGGCTGCAGAGGGGGCAGGAAATGAGGCAATAGCTCTGGTGTGGTGGGAGGGCAGATTTATGTGGTGTCCCCAAAACCACACAGCATGGAGGTTTGGAACTGAGAGCACAAATACCTTGATTGCTGAAGGAAGAGAAACTTGCATGTTGCCAGCATGTGGATTCTGGCCAATTACTGGATCACAAGGGTGCAGAAGAGCACAGAGTACATGTTCACATGGGCTTGCTGACAGCAGACTGACTTGAGTGGAGAGAGGTGGTCTGTGCTGGCATATTTTTCCTACTCTGCAGCATCTAACTGCTGACTTTAGAGATTGTGAAGTGGTACTTCAGTTGTCCATGTTGTATTCTTTCTGGGAAGTTGGCGATGTGTGAGTATACAAAAGGATCTAGAACATCCTGAATGTTATAGTGCCAGGGGAAAATGAGGGTATGTGCATACAGAGGCTCTTCACGAGGAGGGAAGAGAAGGTGGCAGGGATTATCTACATTGATGGAAAAACCCTTCTGTTGATGTAGGAAGTATCTGCACTATGCTGCTGCAGCTGTGCCACCCATAGCACAGACATGCCCTTGCTCTCCCTTACTATTTCCACAGCCTTCAAACTGCTCTACATTTCCCAAAATATATTTTAGACAAGTGAAAAGTTCAGAAGCCGCAGATACGTTAGTATTAAACCACTAACAAGAAAAAAAGTGAGGGAAGTCCCCCATGAGACAGACAACCCATGGAACAATTTGCCAGAGGATGTTGTGAAGGCTAAGACTATAACAGAGTTCAAAAAGGAACTAGGTAAGTTCATGGAGGATATGTCCATCCATTAGCCAGAATGGGCAAGGATGGTGTCCCTAGCCTCTGTTTGCCAGAGGCTGGGAATAGGTGATGGGATGGATCACTTGATGATTACCTGTTCTGTTCATTCCCTCTGGGGCACCTGGCACTGGCCACTGTCAGAAGACAGGATACTGGGCTAGATGGACCTTTGGTCTGACTCAATATGGCCGTTCTAATGAATTTAATGTGCAATGCACTCCCAGAACAAAAAATATCCATACCCTGCAGTCAGACTTATGTTTTGGTATAACTAACAGTCCTGTAAGTAGTATAGCAACTTTTTACAATGAAATGTGAAGGAAAATTACAATTTTCCTGGCAATAATAGACTTTATTTTGTAAGTCGGTATGGCAATTGAATACAGATGCATTTTGCCAAGTTTTACAATACTGCACAAATTTTATAATCCCACAGCATGCTTAGTAAAACCATATGGAAGCTGTGAAAAGTCTTCTATAGCCCGTATTTGAGACAATGCCATCAGTGCCTCTGCTTATTTGAAAAAAAATACAGAAATAAAAGGCTGAATCATGACTTCAGATAGGAGCAAAATGAGTTTATGTACCGTATTTGACAAGGAAAACCAATCTCAAAACAATAGAAATATTTAGATCTATGATAAAGAATAATTTTAAAACAATGAAAGAGTACAGATATTCTGGCCAGCAGTAATTATGCATTAATGATGCAAATCTTAAGTAATATCTCTCTTTAAAAAGGCACATTTCTTTAGATCATTTTTAGTTTCTCATGAAATGCAAACATACAGGCATTCAGTAAAATCAGTATTTTACTTTAAACATGCTTTCACACCAGTTGGAAGACTCCACCCCATAAAACCATATATGAAAAAGTTAAAATAAAGCATTTTTTGGTTGATGTACATAGTTGAAATTACAAGGTATTTCTAGACAATTAATGCCTTGTACATTAGCTAGTGTTTAAATCATCTCTCAATATGCCATTCAGTTTCTAAGCAACTGTATGATCAAGCAGGTATACAATTTTTACCTCTGAAATTAACAAACCTGGAGTCTAAAAATCCAGTACAAATTTTTAGAAAATTTCATTATAGGGTTATGAAGCTATCAATCTTTTCATTGTTTCCTAGTACATATCAAAACAAGGCTCAAAGAATTGCCAGATTTTTTTAAATTATTCAAATCCATCATCATTTATATTCAAGTCTCGTGATTCTCCATGGTGCAAGACAAAGAAATCCTCAGGTTTCAAGCCATATCTTTCAAGGGCTTCATTCAGTTTAACTGGAGGATCCAAGTAATACTGGGGATAGAGAGGAGAAAGAGACACAATGCCAGCATTAGATAAAATATGGCTTTCAAGCTCTACACCAGTGGTTCTCAACCTATTTACCATTATGGGCCGCATCCAACACTACCTCTATGGGCCTGAGGATGTCATGTGGGCTGCAGCTCTGTGTTGACTGGGCCGCAGGTTGAGAACCACTGCTCTACACAAACTGGTTCACCTTTTGGATATAATGGGCAATGTGTACCAGGTGTACATTTTCTGAGATTAAGTGAACGTGAAAGTTTTAGGTGGTTTTTTTTTTTGGAGGTTTATTATTATTTAAAACACCCCACTGAAATTATACAATTAGTAACAGACAATGGATGACCTATAATCTTTACAATACTAGCTAAATATGCATCTATCACTCAAAATCCATGCTACCTCACACCCTATTGGATAAGAGTTTTTAAATAAACCAGGACCAGCTCACTCCTGGGTTGGGAACCATGGGGAAAAGTTAAGTACTGGAGGAAGTGGGGTTGGTAATTCTGTAGATGGCACTTTCCCAATTTTAGAAAAATGCATTCCCTGTCATGATCAACAAAAAATAAAGACTTCCTTCTCCCACATTTAAAGGTTATTCAGTTTAATTGTTCAAGCAAGCAAATTGTCATTTCAATGCTGTCTCCTTGCTGTGTTACATTTTTAAAAATAAATTTAGATAATATGAACTCTTCATCTGAAGAAGGTATACTGTGCACACAGCATTTCTAGGCAATGCTATCTTGAATACAAAGCAAAGCATATAAAAAAAAGGCTTAAGGGAGTTTTCAACGTGTATGCAGAATAATTAAAAAAGCACATTTTATATGTTGGATACTAAAGGCACAGACTATTCAAGGTAGCCGGCATGGGAAACGCTGTATCAAAGATACTGTGTTTACATATGTTGCCGCCTTAACTCAGTATCCAGGCTACTAGTTACAAGATAAAATGCATATAGATGTTTTAACAATTTCCCCTAAACTACAATTTTACAAACAGTGGCAACATATTACCTATATTAGAAACTTGTTTATGAAGTTAAAAATTGAGAATATGGCTCAGAATTGACAGAATATGAAATTGTCAATAAAGTGTACCTCAAATTAACTATAAAAGGAACTGTTAATTATGCAGGATTAGACAGTTAATCACATTTTACATGTTTAGTAAAGTGTTATATACACCTATAATATTCTAACTTCTGCCTGTCTGCAAATGATACAACAATAAAAGCAAACTTAGCAGTACACATGCATCTGAAAAGTGGGGGTTTTTACCCACGAAAGCTTATGCCCAAATAAATCTGTTAATCTTTAAGGTGCCACCAGACTCCTTGTTGTTTTTGTGGATACAGACTAACACAGCTACCCCTCTGATACTTAGCAATTACATATTTATTCACATTTCTGCTGTCCCTGATTTTTGTATACCTAAATTACTATCCATATAACAACACTCCCATCCTCCATTTCAGAAAGTTATTTCACCCTGTGACTCATTAATAATTTCATCTATAATGGTAATAAAAACCATGATTGTCTGTTTTAGTTTTGCTATCCAGCACATTTCTATAATACCTGCTGATGTACTATTGTAAATATTTTCTTCCCAATTTGGGGCATTCAGATCTGAAGATCAATTGCAAATTCTTTATCTTCTGTGTCAATTTCTCTTTCTGGATTTCTGACACAAGCTCTTCTTTGTCCCGTCATCTGATCTAGATTTGTGTCCCAAGTGTCTGATGATTCAAGGCACGGATGCAAAATTTCAAATGCTGGACTAGAATTATAGTCTCTCTCTTTCTGGGTTTCTTCTCTTATTCTCTCCCTCATTTGTCATGAATTCTATTACCTGTATGACTTATCTGTGGTCATTTACTACATAAGCCGTCTCATGTCACGTTCATGCTAACCCAGTACCACAAATCTGATGACAAGACCTGCTCTTTTAACATGCAACTTTGATCTCTTCTGATCAAGCGTATTATGCCTGCCCCTTTTTCAGTGCACCAGTTCCTCTGCCAATAGAGCAAGCATTTCAAATCTGCCTGCATAACAAAAGCTCCCAATGTGCTGATATTTTTTCACTGCCTTTTATCTTGATGTATTTGACATTCACAAGAAATTCAGCTTTATTGAGAACAATTTTAGCTCAAGGTATAAAATGTTAAGAAAACTGAACTAGTTTTTGTATTAAAAATTGTAGAATTTAGTCTTAACTAAATACATACAATATGTAGTCGGTTATGTAAGGATTAAGACAAAATAAGCTTATAATTCTGAGCTATAGATAATTCATTTATAGATGTTTGTTATAATATGAGATGATTAAGCTTAATTACTGTTTCCGTACTTAGAAAATTTGAATGTATTCATGATTAGCCCAAACTCACCTCATTTGCTAAAGCAAAGGTTCCCCAATGAATCGCTACAGACTTCTTTGTCTGAACATCAATATGAATTCTTACAGCTTCTTCAGGATTCACATGCTGGTATTTCATAAACCACCTAACAAACACAAAATAACTTACATATTTAGTGTAACCTTTTACATTCAAGATATCTGTTCTTTATTAGGGTTTTTAAATAGGCAAGAGGTGTTAAGATATCCTCATTTAATCAAAAAGAAAGGTCTATAACTGTGACCAAGTTACAGAGACTGTAGAAATCCATTTGCTAGTAATGACTAGCATTCCTTCAACTAATTACAATAGGTGTATACAACAGCATGCACATCCACAGAATTTGGAGGGCTACTAGTTCTGTTTTTTAATCGGTATTCCTTATAGAGGTGGGAAGTTTTCCCAATGTATTCATTTTAAGGATTTATGGGCCATCTGCTCTGAAGCAAGTTCATGCTAACATTACCATAATCAATATGTATGAAGAATCATAGGATACACCGAAAGAAACATGCTTCAGTAGATAGCACTCTTCTCTCCGAGTCGGTATTGAACGAACACTTTGCTTGCTACTGGAGGTGCAGTGTTTTGAGTGAGATGTCAAGTCCCAAGGTATAAGGCACAGGATTAAAATTACATTGGTTCAACTTCTAGAATTTGCTATAATTGATTGCGGGCCAGTGTCAAAAAGTGTAGGGATCAGTGACAGTCAAAGTCTCTCTAAAGGGGAGAATAGAAGCAGATTTTGCACATCACTGAGAATGCTAGAATTTATTTCTGAACTGCGTAGTTCATGAGAAATACTGGACTTTAATCTCACAATTCTGATTTCTGGTTTGTTTCCCCAACCTACCCAGGCTTCATTTCTGACATTTTAGCAACTTATCTTGAGAACTGCTAAAGCTAAAAACTAGGACTGCCAAGTGATTAAACAAATTAATCGTGATTAAATGCATGATTAAACAAATTAATCACGCTTAATAATAGAATACTATTTATTTAAATATTTTTGGATGTTTTCTACATTTTCAAATATATTGATTTCAATTACAACAGAGAATACAAAGTATACAGTGCTCACTTTATATTTATTTTTGATTACAAATATTTGAACTGTAAAAAAACAAAAGAAATAGTATATTTCAATTCACCTAATACACATACTGTAGTGCAATCTCTCTATAATGAAAGTTGAACTTACAAATGTAGAATTATGTACAAAAAATAACTGCATTCAAAAATAAAACAATATAAAACTTTAGAACCTACAAGTCCACTCAGTCCTACTTCAGCCAATCGCTCAGACAAACAAGTTTGGCTACAATTTGCAGGAGATAATGCTACCCATGTCTTGTTTACAATGTCACCCAAAAGTGAGAACAGGTATTCGCATGGCACTGTTGTAGCCGGCATCGCAATATAGTTATGTGCCAGATGCACTAAAGATTCATATGTCCTTTCATGCTTCAACCACCATTCCAGAAGACATACGTCCATGCTGATAACGGATTCTGCTCGATAACAATCCAAAGCAGAGCGGATCGATGCATGTTCATTTTCATCATCTGAGTCAGATACCACCAGGAGAAGGTTGATTTTCTTTTTTGATGGTTTGGGTTCTGTAGTTTTCACATCGGAGTGTTGCTCTTTTAAGACATCTGAAAGCATTCTTCACACCTCGTCCCTCTCAGATTTTGGAATGCACTTCAGATTCTTAAACCTTGGGTTGAGTGCTGTATCTATCCTTAGAAATCTCACATTGGTATCTTCTTTGCGTTTTGTCAAATCTGCTGTGAAAGTGTTCTTAAAACGAACACGTGTTGGGTCATCATCCAAGACTGCTATAACATGAAATATATGGCAGAACATAGGTAAAACAGAACAGGAGACATACAATTCTCCCCCAAGGAGTTCAGTCACAAATGTAATTAACACATTATTTTTTTAACGAGCATCATCAGCATGGAAGTATGTCCTCTGGAATGGTGGCTGAAGCATGAAGGGGCATATGAATGTTTAGCATATCTGGCATGTAAATACCTTGCAATGCCGGCTACAACAATGCCATGCGACACTGTAAATAAGAAGCACTTAGCAGTATCTCCCATAAATGTAAGCAAACTTGTTTGTCTTAGCAATTGGCTGAACAAGAAGTAGGACTGAGTGGACTTGTAGGCTCTAAAGTTTTACATTGTTTTGTTTTTGAGTGCAGTTATGTAAGAAAAAAAATCTACATTTGTAAGTTACACTTTCACGATAAAGAGATTGCACTACAGTACTTGTATGAGGTGAATTGACAAATACTATTTCTTTTATCATTTTTACAGTGCAAATATTTGTAATAAAAATAATATAAAGTGAGCACTGTACACTTTGCATTCTGTGTTGTAATAGAAATCAATATATTTGAAAAAGTAGAAAAACCATCCCAAAAATATTTAATACATTTCAATTGGTAGTCTATTATTTAACAGCGCGATTAATCGTAATTAATTTTTTTAATCGCAGTTAATTTTCTTGAGTTAATCGCATGAGTTAACTGCAATTAATCGACAACCCTACTAAAAACCAATGCTTTATCCCATCTGAAAGCTTAGATACCATGTGATAAGCAGGAAATAGATGCCCAGACAAACATCTTTCAAATGCTATAAAGCATTCAGAATCACGTGAGAACTGAAATCGGGGAAAGTAATGTGGTAATTAGAATAATATAGTAGCACTGTAAATTGTGTGAATGTATGAAAAGGGATTTCAGACTGGGTGATCCCAGTAGCCTTTCCTATTCCTACTTTCTTTTCACATTAAAATAATGCCAGGCTGTGTGTGTTTTTCAATAGTTTTTGGAATAATGTCTGATAAAAAAACACCACATTTCAGCTTCTTTCCCTCTCTTTTCTACATCTTGGTTCTGGTGTACACTTAAAATTTAGATTGACTTAGGTACATCACTCATGGGTATGAAAAATTCACATCCCAGAGCACTGTAGTTAAGCTGACCTAACCCTCAGTTAGGTCAACAGAAGAATTCTTCTGTCAACTAGATCAACAGAAGAATTCTTCTGTCAACCTAGCTTCCGCCCATTCAGGGAGGTGCATTATCTACATTGATGGAAAAAACCCTTCTGTTGATGTAGGAAGCATCTGCACTATGCTGCTACAACAACATAGCTGCAGCTGTGCGGTCCATAGCACAGACATGCCTTTGCTCTCCCTTATTATTTCCACAGCCTTCAAATCGCTCTTCTGCTCTACATTTCCTGAAATATATTTTAGACAAGTGAAAAGTTCAGAAGCTGTAGATACAATGTTAGTATTAAACCACTAACAAGAAAAAAAGTGGTTTGAAATCAATATATCATTTCATTGATATAGTTTACATATCTTTTGGTCAAACCCTTTGAAATTTGCATACCTTGGCTCATAAGCTCCAATGGGAATAGCTGCAAGATCAAAAGGTCCAAATCTTTTGCCTATCTCTTCAAAAGCAACACAGTAACCAGTATCTCCTGCAAAGAAAAACCTATTCCAGGGCCCCAAGACAGACCAGCTGCCCCAAAGAATCTTGTTGTCATCTGTTGCAGTCCTCTTGCACCAGTGTTGAGACGGGGTAAAGACAAAAGTAACTGCGTCATGACCGGGGACACAGTTCTCTTCCCACCAGTCCAGTTCAATCACATTTTCACAGCCACATTTCTGCATCCATTCTAAAAGACCCAGAGGCACAAACCATCTCAACTCAGTGCCAAAACGCTTGTTTAAACTCTCTACAGTATTATAGTCCAAATGGTCATAGTGGGTGTGGCTGATCATCACTGCATCTATTTTTGGGAGCTCATCTACTGTGCATGGAGGTCCTCGGAAACGTTTTGGACCCACAAACTGTGCTGGGGAAGCCCGCTGGCTGAAGATTGGGTCAGTAAGAATTACGAGTCCATCCATTTCCACCATAACTGAGGCATGTCCTAACCATGTGACTCGCATGCCAGTTCCAGTCTTACCAACTAGTTCAGGGTTTGGAATGAAGTAAGGGTTTAACACAGGAAGCTCTTTATCAAGTTCCTAGCAAAACAACAAAAAAAAAGAGTTAGAAAGCAAAGCACACACACAACAAAAAGCCCACAAGGTACCAATCACAAAACAAGGCTTGTACTTAGTGTACATCTTTAATTTCTAGGAAACCTGCAAGTAGATGCACAGATATACCATTTCCAGTGACTTCAATAGCTTCCTATTAAATTAAAATCATTAACCTTATTTTTAATAATCATTTAATCTTTCTAGTCCTTAGAACATGCTCTTGAGAGCAAGAGAATTAGGCCTGCGGCTCTACAAAGGAAACGATTCAAAGATGTGCTGAAAACAACTTGCAGACTTTTACTGGAATGAAATAGAATTGCTCAAAATTAGCAACAAATTCTGATATCTTGCCCCTATTGCCCTGGAAGAGGATCTTAATGCTGCTGCTACTACTACTACTATCTCTTGTAGTTTGGCCTTTAGCTTAAATATTGGAGCTATAGCTTGTGGATCTGAGCAATATCCTTCCAGAGTCCCAGCAGAGAGAGATTTATTACAAGTTACTTATTAGATTGAAGAGACTAATCTGCTAGGAGGACCACTAATATGCTACTGGCAGAGTCAATAATTCAATGAATACTGCTGATAAATTTTTAAGAAACTGCCAAATAGAGAGGTATAATGCAGCACCACTGCTGCTACATTACTTATGGAGGGTTATCTTAAATGTGAAGTCCCGTGGAAGCTTAATTAAAAATTGAAATATGAATTTCAGTTCTACTGAAACTATTGAAAGGTAATGATTAAGTGTAATTCCCTTCAGATCAATATTTCAATCTGGGATTTCATTGGAGCTGTAGTTTGAATAAAGAATTCCGTTAAAAAGTATGTTACAGAAACATCCTGAATATATTTTTCTTAGAAGGGAGGTGATAAAAATTGCATTATTTGCAGTGAGACATTTATGTCCCTTTCACAATAACTATGGCAATGCTCTCTGAAAAGAGGATAAAGCCATATTTGATCCACTTGACCACCTTCCAACTGATGAGGGTGCAGAAGAGAGCCACAAAAATAATTTGAGAGCTGGAGAAAATGCCTTACAATGAGAGACTCAAAGAACAAAATGTGTTTAGTTAATCAAAAAGAAGACAGAGAGATGGACTTGATTATCTTCACGGTATTATAGTGTTCTTTGATCTAGCAAAGAGAGGACGGGGGGAGGGATAGCTCAGTGGTTTGAGCATTGGCCTGCTAAACCCAGGGTTGTGAGTTCAATCTTTGAGGGGGCCATTTAGGGAACTGGGGTAAAAATCTGTCTGGGGATTGGTCCTGATTTGAGCAGGGGGTTGGACTAGATGACCTCCTGAGGTCCCTTCCAACCCTGACATTCTATGACAACAAGAACCAATAGCAGGACATTGAATCCAGATAAATTCAAATTAGAAATAAGGCACAATTTTCTTTTTCTCTACAAAGGGAAGTGGTATTATCTCCATCATTGATATTTTCAGATCAAAACTGAATGCCTTTCTGGGAGATATGCTTTAGCCAAATACAAGTTGTTGAGCTAAGTGCAGGAATAACTGACTGAAATTCTGTGACCTCTATTATATAGGAGGTCAGACTAGATGATCAAATGGTCCCTTCCGGTCTTAAAATCTATGAATTAACACAAAATTATGGAAAGGAGTTGGGGCAAACCATTTTCAGGTCTTCTTCATAAAACAGAATTTTGTTCTTTAATGTGTTGAAAAAATTTCTTCATGACTGTCTTTTTTAAATGTTCAAATTTTGGAGTAAAAAAAAAAAAAATAGGTTTTTCCAAGTCATCATTTCATTATTGAAATCACAAGTACTTAAAAAAAGAGTGTACAACTTCTACTGCAATATATTCCATACTAAATCATTTGAATTGCACAACGAGGTAAACAATGAGGTGAATAAAATACACAATCTTATCCGGATTTAGTATTAGCATACTAGTATTACTGTGGTGACATAGTTGCACTATAGATGTTTGGTTTTGTTCCAAGAACAATGGCAGATGTTTGAAATATGACATTAATGACAAATTGGCTGTGGACAAAGATATCTAGAGAAAAATATGTACTACTCACTTCTTTTCATTACTGCATTAATGTGAAATCCCCACCTCCCCACCCCAAATGCAAAGCAAGAAGAAATGCATGACTGGCTTTAGTAAGATTGGTTAATTAGCTTAGGACTTTGGAGCTCAGTACATACTGACTCACCATCTGATTTTATTTTAACTGAGATTTGTGGAGCAACACAAATCAACAATTTATGTTTACAATACATGATGATTAAAGCCATCTCAATGCCATTTAGAAAAGTCATTAACAAAGCCAGTAACATACAGAAAGTCTGTGGTCTAGATTCCCAGTTAAAAATAGAGGCTTGTTGTAATAATTTAGCAATAGTCTGTAGTTACAATGAAGTATGTCATGGGTGTCATACAATTCCATATGCAAAATACTGACTGATAACATGAACCAGTTAAGAGTGTCAGCTATTTAGCATGTTCTTAAAATCAAGGGGTTGCTAACTAGAATGCAGAGGAAGTAGTAGTTTGTATTAAAGACGCTACAGCTAAGCAGTGTCAAGGAAAGCATTGAACCCTCAGCTTTAATTTTAAGTAGGCTCAGAAACACTTTACGATTTAATTCAGAGGTGATGCAGACAATGGTGAAGCAAGCAGTGAAGTGGCTGAGAAGTCCAAATAATAATGTTTCATCTATCTTTTTGCTGCTTCTGACTTTTTTTACTTCACTTTAGTGACGCTCCTACTGTCTACTAGTTCTTACTTCACCATCTGAAGTGCAAACTAGGAAATCAGAGTTGGAGAGTTGGGTCAGTTAGCTCTGCACCAGGCATGGTATGAATTCCTTCTTGACCTTCCCTTAAGTCAGAGAGAGTTATCCTCCAGCTCAAATGAAACAATATTACAGCTCTCCATTGCACACACAACACACCAAAGCACTGACCCATGTCGTCAGTCATTAACCAGACTCACAGGCTGGTGGTCACCCTTTAAGTAAATACATCTGTTTGTCATAGGTGGGGTTGCTTGCAGGGCCATGTGTGGTGCTGCGGGAGCTCCCTGCCTTAGTCCACAAGTTGTGGCCGTCTACTCAGAGCATTGCGGTCTAAGCTGTGAACTTGGCACCAGTCTTTAAACAGTTAACTAAGGATAACAAAACTCAGAATTTGACTGGCTGTGCTTTTAAAGGCAAGTGCTTAGTTGTAGCGCTTGAGGCCAAAGCCCTGACCTTGTCCTAAGGATCTGGGCGAGCAGTGACCAGTTCCTGCTCTGTCCAAGTGTCACAGCAGACAGCTCTTAAGAAGAAGCAGGCAAACCTTTTTAACTGGCCTGCTGCCTCCTGTCAGTGTCTTCTCCTGGCCCTTCTAGGCCTCTGAAGGACTAAATCTTCTTGGTAGCCTGGTCTGAGTGGGTTTTTCTCGAGCAGCCAGGTGTCAATGCAAGCCAGGATGTGAACTCCACACAAGATAACGTGGCAAGCCAGAAGAAACGGCTTGTCGTGGTGGTAGAGGCTGCAAATAGTTTGATCCTTTGCAGGAAGCATGGTGCACACATACTGGCTAAGTGCCCAAGGAGTACACGTTGGATGTTGTGGGACTAGCAAATTTAAAATGGGTTAATTAATCCTGGAGAATAGCGCTCAAAATACTGTCAAACCAACTGTATACAGATTTAATCTATTCCTTAAAGAGATTCCCTACCCCTCTGAGATCAAACAAATCTGAGCCACTATCACTAAAAATGCGATATATAGACTTATTTTCTCATCAGAAGAGCTGTCAATTAGCTGTCTTCACAGTTCATTCATAGATCAACCAATGAAAGTCTGCCACATGCTTCAGATTGTGAAGCATAAACTCTTATGATTGTCTCCTGGATGCTGAAAAGTTTTAGTAACTTATACTGGCTCAGAAGTGCATCTCCACACTGAGGCATTTAAGACCAATATCCAGTCCTCTTTGTGGCAGGAACTGTATTTTCTTTCTTTTGTTGTGGGAGAGGGTTTGTAGTTTGCTTTATTTTTACGGGGGGTTTTTACATTATGATTGTATACAGTACTAGCACAATGAAGCCCTGAAACTGACTGAGACCTACAGGCACTGATGCAAGACAAATAAATAATAGTGTCTTTTCCCAATAACCTGACAGTGTCTTAGTATAAATGTTTGCTCAAATTAGCCTCAATATAAAAACTTACTCTCTCTGAGAGAATCTAACCTAAGGATTGTGGCTGGCAAAAAGAGGAAATCATCATTACAATTTAGGTGTTTTATACCATCCCAAAGCTATATAAAGTTTTCACCACCATTCAAATCATACAGTAATGTTTTTGTAATTAAATGTCCCATAAGTAATAACTGCAGCTTGAATAATGTAGTAGATATCCTACAAATTGTAGACATGTCCAATATCTATTGAAAGAGAAACATGCAATAACCTGTAACCATGTGAGTTCAGACAAATGCTGTTTGGGTATTTCCTGAAGTTTCTCTCAACATATAACCTGAACGGGATAGATTAATCTATTCCAAGTTTACAGGCCTAACACACAGAATTAAAGATTTCACATTAAAAAGGTAGAAATGGATGGCTTTTGAAAGGAATAATAAAAAAAATTAAAAGATACGAAAAAAACCAGTGAAACTGGTGAGTCTCCAAAAACAGTCTAGAGCAGTGGTGGGCAACCTGCGGCCCACGGGCCGCATGCAGCCCATCAGGGTAATCTGCTGGCAGGCCGTGAGACAGTTTGTTTACATTGACCGTCTGCAGGCACGACCGCCCACAGTTTCCAGTGGCTGCGGTTTGCCATTCCCGGCCAATGGGAGCTGCAGGAAGCGGCATGGGCCACAGGGACGTGCTAGCCGCTGCTTCCCACAGCTCCCATTGGACGGGAACAGCAAACTGCGGCCACTGGGAGCTGCAGGCGGGCATACCTGCAGATGGTAAATGTAAACAAACTGTCTCGCAGCCCACCAGCGGACTACCCTGGCAGGCTGCAGGTTGCCCACCACTGGTCTAGAGTCTCCAAAAGAGTCCTAAGAATTTGAAAATCCTCTTATTTTAAAGATAGGAATTGAGAGCTCTCAGTGTCCCCACAGGATTAGGGCCTACATCTTGGACTAGTAAACATGCAACTAGTTACCTGTTTTGAAGATGGGATGTTGCTGTTATTTTTTTCCACAAGGGCCCATTTCAAAATATTTGGCAAGGATGGAGATTTCCATGTTGGCCAAGGGTTGACAAACTTTCCATCTTTATCTCTCTTTGATTTAGTTACATCTTCCTCTAATCGGTAATCCAATCTGAAGCTTTTTCTGGACGTCCTGGAGGAGTCACTGCCTCTGGAACCTCGACTTGAATTTTGTCGTTTCCTTACTGCCTCCTTAGGGTACTGGTTACATGCAGTTAAAGGTTGCTCTTCATCTGCCTTCTCATCCATGTCTTCTGATGAAGAGCTAAAATATATTTTTTAAATTAATAAATCTTTTCTTTCACTAACATTAACATTCATAAAATTGAAAGCTTTCCACATCATCACAAAAATAAAGCTGCCCTTTCCATTTTGCAATTTAACTTATTTTTCCATATAACTTTACTTTTTAAAACAGTTACTATTACACAGAAAGCTTAAAAAACATGTCTTAGCAAGTAGCATAGTTCAGGCAGAATCTTCTTTCCTGGTATGCATCACTTTAGAACCCAGCCCTATGACATACTAAGTATAAAAGAGGGGGATGTTCTTTACTTTCTCTTTTTGGAAGAGTACCAAACTCCTCCTAAAGTTCATTTAACACCTGATGTAATTTGATCTTGCAAGCACATCCTTGATTTTCTTGAATTATGAAATATTTTATACCTGACATCGTACCTTTGTTCTGTAATAAAAACTGCAGTATTATGTAGCAATAAAGATACTTCTGTTTGAAAGACACATCAACGAATAATGCATCTCTGTATAATATGAACAAGATGTATGAACCACTAGAGGTATTTGATGCCTCAAGATAGCTGTATTTTAGACAATATAGGTAAGCTGAAAATTCAGTTAAGCTTAACTGATATAATTAAAATAAAGTCAAATGTCTGAAGGACAATTCAAGTCCCATGAAACTAGTCATCCCAGGGATGAGCTGCAGAAGTCTGGTATCCATTAAGTAGGCTGGTTCCTGGACTTGGAGTCTACAATAGGTCCAATGTTTATGTTTTATTTGCAGCATTTAGTATTTTATATCTTCAAAGCGTTCTACAAACAGTACCTTAATTTCAGCACCACTGTGAAGTTAATAAATATCCTTATTTTGCAACTCGAGAAACAAATTAATTTACCTACAGCTACAGTTTAAGTCCATTTCATAGAAGCAATTAGAATATGGGAGCCAAGAACTCCTAACCCATGCTGCATTCACAATATTGTCATGCTGAACATGCATCCTCTACAGTTTAGGAATTTAGATAAAACAATCCAAACTCAACAGGATTCCAAGGTGAGGGAAAAAACCCTCGCAAAGTGATAAGTGAGTGACTTAACAGCTTTAGTTTAAGAAACTCTGGAATACACTTATTTTGAATTAAATTTTCAATCCTCTACCAATGTTAAGACAAATGTTAGTTTGGTGTCCAGTTATTTAAAACAGAAAAGTACCACAGATTTCAGACCTTTACATGATTAAAAACAATAAATGACCAGAGGCAGACAAGTAGCATTGTACATTGTTTAGAATCAGTGGAACACTGTTTAAATAGATATGCAAACAAGAAAAAATTAAATGGCCGGATGGAAACAGCATTTGTATTGGTCTCCAATATGTCTGGAAACATTCTTATAGAGTAATGTCTTGATTAGATACTTCAAAACAATGTGGGGGGGAATTTTAGCATTCATGAATTAAGACTGATGGTACTGACTAGAAGTAACAATAGAGGTACCAGTATCTAGCATGCAAACTTCCCTTTATAGTTCCAGAGCTACTATCCCTTTTATCACAGTCGAGAACCATTCCTACACACAGGCTGGGAATTGGGCTGTTCAGTGATATGGAACAAGCCCTCCACACATTCTGGACTACATAAACTTTTCACCCAATAATCAAGCTTGACCTCAGGTATCCATTAGAGATGTACTTGTACATTAACTGAGTGATTTCCAAACTTTGTGTGCTCAAGGATCAGTTTCAAAAGGATGGTTTTAAATAACGCGACTCACTTACAAGCAATTTAAAAGAAAAATTTCTCCATTGTACTTAGCACGGTTTTAGTCAAATTAGTTAAGAGACGTGTTGTTCCTTTGACAAAATAATCTACAAGTACCCGAGTGGCTAGAATTCACTCTGCCCTTGTACAATTAAATACAAAAATCTATGTTAGTGTACCATTACAGCTGAGATTTTATACACAGACAAAATCAGTTTAATGTTACTACAACCCATCAAAAAATTATGTATTGGTGGAGCTCTGACTTTAGAGGTAGATCCCTCTTTTCCTGCTATAGGAACAGCCATTTGCAAATTAGCGAGATTGCTTACCTGTGACATGACATAGATGACATAGCTGATGAGGGTTGGAGATACACAGATGGTTCCTGCATCAATCATTACTCTGCCATATTGCACAGACATAGACTACTAAGGCATTAAAGACAACACCATATGGTAACAGAAATATCTCCATACATCCACAGCAGGGCAGGGTTACTGCCACTGGCCTTTAACAGTGTAAAATCTCAACCATAATGTTGGATTAAATTACGTTTCTTTGCATTAATTTTCTTGTGGTTTTAGAGAGATCACCCAGTTTGTACACTTGCTAATTAACAATCACATATTCCAGTAAATGCATTTATATATTACATCATTATATAACATTTAATTCAAATTGTGTGCATTCTGAAACTGTGCATGCCACTCTAGAAAGTATGCAGGACTGTGATATATAGAAGAATGAAGGGAGCACAAAGGAGGATTAAGGGTTGTGTGCAGATATATGCATTACACAGTATGTCTTTCCAGGTACTGAACTATGCAGTATACCTACATGCTGCTGTTTGCACTCAGGGATAACCATTTTTTTTTTTTAATTCCTCACAGAGGACTACATGCCAAGTCAGAAGTTTTAATTACGTATTTTTTAATTAAAGCATGCAAACAAACAGCATAAAACCACATCTGAAAAATTGCTAAAAGATGATATGCAAAGGTAACGTATCAAATTCTAATGTATTTAATTTCAGTAAATTAATCAGTTACCATTTCAATAGACCACCCATTTCAATTTTCTTATTCAAATATATGACGACTGTGGTCCACAGTATAAGCTACTGTAAAGTTGACATATTACGATTGTTACTACAAGCTAAGGGATGACTTGATCACAGTCTGTAAGTACCTACAAGGGGAACAGAAATTTGATAACAGGGCTCTTCAATCTAGCAAACAAAGGTATAACAAGATGCCATGCATGGAAGTTGAAGCTAGACAAATTCAGACTAGAAATAAGGAGCAAATTTTTAAAGGTGACGATAATTAACCATTAGAACAATTTACTAAGGGTTGTAGTGGATTCTCCATCACTGGAAATTTTTAAGTCAAGACTGGATTTTTTTTTTTTTAATAATTCGCTCTAATTCAAACAGGAGTTAATTCAGGGAAGTCCTATGGTCTGTTATATAGTAGGAAAGACTAGATTATCACAAGGGTCCCATCTGGCTTTGGAATCTATGAAGTAATTTTACATTAAAAGAGCTCCAAAAGTGTCTGAGGCATTTTTAAAAGTTTTAATTTATCTACTACATTCATCTCTCAAATGGGTGAGTTCAATTTTTGCTTAAATGCACATTTGATCCTGCTCTGAAATTTTGATAATTTGGTTCAGTATCAGTGTAAGGGAAGAGGGAATGGTTGTACTGACAACAAAATGGGTGCCAAGGCATTTAAGGCACTGCAGGTATCCATCTGCCAATATGTTTTCCACTTGATGCACGTACATGGCTTTCATTAGCATTCCATAAGCATTTGAGGGGAGCACAGACCTCATCAGCCAGAACTGACTGAATACTTAACCTTTTTACATGCATAAAGAAAATTACAAATTTAGAAACAGTTAATCTAGTCAAGTATTCTCTGAACTGTATATTCCTTGAAAGTCTCTCTCTTGCCTCTTAATTTATGTTTCTCTTGGAAATATGTGGTGGGTATAACCCAGTGTGTCTGAAATGCAGCAATTTTGCTCTGTACATCAGTTTTGATTCTGCTTAGGGTACAGCAAACTAAAGCTAATTATTTTCTTAAGGTGAAGAGGAACATTTTGAGAAAATCCAGCATGCTTCAACTTTTGGCTTAAAGTAAAACCTGGCAGGTTGTCTACAGAGGTTCTTGGTATTCTAAACAAGAAAGTTTCTAAATCTGAGATTTGGTATCTATATCTCGAACATTACAAAGTACTCAATCAGGGATGAGTCAACACTTCCTCCCACCCTCTTGAGCTCACCTCAGACGCAATATTATTTTTCTAGCACGAAACAACCCCCTATTATTACTTTAAGCCACTGGATTGTCTGTCAATATGTATAAGTGAGCAAGACATTGCAATCAACCAGCCTTCTGTTAAATCCTATCTGTGTGTGGGGTAGCAATAAACAGACTTTAAAAAAAAAATCCCATGTAGACATCCTGCAATTGTAGACTTGCACAGGTAACCTTGTACGCTCGACCCTTGTAAACAAAAGGGAAGAATCCGCCCTTATATATGCTAAACATTAACCAAATCCTGGATGCTTTACTCACACAAGTTATCTTACACCCAAAACCACATTCCAGTAAGCAAACATGTGATATATTTCAAATGCACAAATGGGATGCAAATAGTGTTTGACTGCTATGAACATTTAAAACAGAGCAGGAGGACTTTTTTAAATTAAGAAATATTTTAATAGCCAGATGCATTTAAGCATAAAAAAATTAATCATCAGTTTGTGGAAAAGTGACCTATAATTAAATCCTTCCTAAGGTCTGATGAAAAGCTTTCTTTAGGAAAGAAATATGTTAGAAGCAGGGTTTGAAAAATCCACTCACATAGGTGAGCAGAAATCTCTCAGGCAAGTGCCAATAGCTTCTGCAGAAGTAAAGATTCTGTTTTAAAAAATTAAGTTCCTAGCCTTTATGATTGCAAAGAAAACATTCATTGTAAACCAAGTGTAATCAATGTAGTGATGTCTTCCTGAGTCTATAGAGAGAACTCCAGTTCTGACACTGCAGGGGGTGTACAGAGTAGGAAGCTGCCACTGCTGTTATACAGGGGAGCCCTGGCCTCCAGGACATCTTAAGATGAGGAATGCCCTGGAGCAATTGCCAACCTCATCCCTAGAGCAGGGGATACTGGAGAGAGGTCAGTCCCCAACCAACCCAGCAGAGAAATCTGTGTGTGGAGGAGCCCTACTCACACTATGCCAGAAGAGGATTCT